TTTAGATTTCGCTAATGCTTTCCTTTCTCCGGTGCAAATAACCGGGCGGCTTAGTACCCTCGCCCAGGAACAGCGGTCCACGCCGTTGGCTCGGCAAGACAATTAAAGATAATAAACTATGGAAATCGGCTTTTCAAAGAATGAGTCATAACTGATCACTTATGTTGCAGAAATCCACTTTTCCAACAAAATACTCATTTTCTCCGGCTGGGACTAGGATCCAGACAGGGTGCTGTAGCCATTGTCACCCCTGCCTGAAATCGAAGGATTTTTGAGAAGCTACAGTCATTACAAAAACTATGTGACATATACTAACCGTAATTTCATATCATTTGAAAAGTCTAGCCTACCCAGTCCCCCCCCCCCGCCTCCCTTCATTATTGGCTCCACAAAAAGCGAATTGTCCATGCATTTCACATAGTCAACATTGAAAAGAGTGAGGAGAGGGTGGAATAACTATATAAGGATATCGTATAATACGTCTGAATGCATTAATATTATCTAAGAACTACAGTTGTCTCAATGAATATTGCCATAGATCGTATCGCCAGGTGGGAACTTTTACATTCTTCCGCTTGGCAAATGTGATGTTTTATTAGATACTGTGCATGGTAAGTTCAATTTTAGATTAACCATGTGTTGATTCATTCAATTAAATTAACCTGCTATTTCCTAATAATCCCTTGCAGACCAGTGGGAATGCGATTTTAAATTTTGTAACCGAGATTTGTGCCACAATAGACAATTGCCATTATAGACTAATTTTAAAATTAGGCAAGGAGATGCAAATAATTCACCACAACTAGAAAGAACACACTATATTTAGTAAAATTGCAAAATGTGGTTGCGAAATGTTCTAAAATGCGGAAAATATATATAGCCTTGCAAAGTTCGCAAATTTTGCACGTTTGGGCCGAAAAATCAATTTTCGCACACAATACAAAAGTCTTGCAAACTTTGCAAGGCCTATATTTTCCGCATTTTACAACATTTCGCAACCATGGCCAAAGTTTGCAATTTCACTCATTTTAGTATGCTCTTTCTATCTGTGGTGATTTATTTGCAACTCCTTCCTAGTTTTAAAATTAGTCTATAATGGGAATTGTATGTATTAGATTGAAACCTGCGATTTGGTACCCCCCCCCCCCTTCACGACCCACGGTGAATTAAGGAGAAAACAGCCAGAGTATATTGAACATCTAAACGCACTGACTTATGCTTAAATAATATATAGCAAAGCTGTGGGCTTTGACTAAACCCAGAGCTATGCATGCAGCGAGGGTACTAATTCCGCTCGGCTAGAGATGCCAACAAGAGTCGCGAGGAATTGAGCATAACGAGAATTACTCAATCTGACCCTCTTTTATCCGAAATATTCGCAGTTCTGTCTTCAAATTTCGACGTTATCTGCAAGGCCGTAGCTAGACCGATAATTATATTTGGGGGTGGGTGCATATTCATATATTCGTGTTCTAACCGACAGATCTCTTTTGAAAGCGATTCTTTTTACGGTATGTGAACGTGAATATATGAATATGCTAAGACAATTCAGAATTGTGCCCCCCCCAACAAAAATGTGCCCCCCCCTGTCCCTGCCAAAATTTAAATGCACTAAATTAAACTACCGTTAAGTGAGATAGAAATATTAAAATTAACATGTTTATATATACGTTTTTTTGCAGCAAATTAACGTACAAGTAAAACACACTTACAAAAAATAAGTTCACGTGCTCATCGGCACCACGCGTTCGCACATTCACATCAGGGGGCGGATTCAGACAGGTTTGGCAGGTTTACATAAACCTGTCAGATTTTCCAAAGAAAGAAAATCTATAACCTTCCATGTATATAACTAATTTAAAGAATATTCTGTTTCATAAAATTGATGTTGTCTAATCTATTATTGAAATTTGATTATGGACTACCGAGCGTATATATTTAGACCCACTGATCATTGCTTTGGCGATTATTGAGAGTCAGAAAATGATTGCGAAGCTTTCGTGCTCTTGCAGTTTGGTTTTTAGTTCGTCGTTAGAGTTGGATTGAAAGCGTGTAGATCTAAATCGATGTGTCAGCAATTAGCGAATCCTATATTTTTATCACTAGGCACTAGCTAATACGCTTCGGAAAAGGTTCAATTATTCAATTCATTGTTTGAGCTGGTATTAGTAAAAAATTCACTTAAAAATATGCATTTTCTAATCATTAAATTAATTTTAAAAGTGACGCCAGATCGCAGGAAATGCTGTTTCAGAGCCCCAAATTTTAAAATTTTTCCGGAACGGCATGCCCCCGGACCCCCCTATTAGTTGGGTGAACCTGATAAACCGGTCATCAAAAACCCTGGATCCACCCCGCACATGATCATCACCACCCCCCTGAATTTTTTGCATCCCCCGAGAAGAATATGAAAATCCGCCCTTGGAATATGCCACCCCCCCCCTCCAATTATCGCGTCTAGCTACGGCCCTGGTTATCTGCCGAATAGCGATTTTAAACTAGACTTTCTTGAATTGGGAGATTGGGAGGTTATTTTTGAAGGGTTCAAACAACTCGGGCACTCGGCTATCGCCTTGTGTTTTTGAAGGATTCTGTTGTATTTTCTCAACATCGATCCCATCCTGCAGTATGACTTCACAAAACCAGGCGACGTAGGCACACTTATATACATAAAATTTCTTAGATATTGTTATATATTTTTTAGGTTTATATATTTCCAACCAAACCAGAAGTACTTCCAATCAAAACCTGATTTTCATCCATGCAGTGTAATGCAGAGTATCACAGTGCCCTCGACATGCATGTAGGATCTTAGAGCTGGCTATGAGATTACATTTTGATACTGAATTAAACTTTTC